CGTGAAGCACAAGTATCGCGCCACCATACAGCGAGCAGTTGTTTGATGACCTGGACACCATTCAGCGCTTAAAGGATTTTCTACAGAAACAATTCAGTATCAAAGATTTTGGAGTACTGAAGTATTTCTTGGGAATTGAAGTTGCTGGTTCTCGCGCTGGACTCGTGTTATCTCAGAGGAAATATACTCTGGATATCTTAAAGGATGCTGGTGCTCTAGCTGTTAAACCATGTGATATCTGGATACTCTTATGTGTTATCTGGATATTGATTATGTGATGTATGGATATTATTCTGTGTTGTCTAAATGTTAGTTTGTGAATTTGGGATGATAGTTGATTCAATGTGGATATTAGTTAGCAAACCTTGAATACTAATCTTTGCTTTCTATATACTTTAGTACTACTTCATAAAAGCAACATACTTGACTACTAGTTCATACTTTTGGATATTAATTAGTATCCACTAACGAATCATAAGTTAGCATATTAATTTTTGTGAATCGCTATTTGCTGCCCTAGTAATTAATATTTGCCGCTCATAGTTTTAAAATGTAAGACGATTTTACCCTTCTTCCTACCTAACCCACCACCGTCGACGACCAACTTCCTTCCTCCTTCCACAACATCCTACCGCCGGCCGACCTCTTCATTCCCCCGACCCCTTCACCATTGCTCCCACCGCCGACGACCCCTCCATTCCTCCTATCTTGTCCCGCCGACCCCTTCATTCGTCCGACCTCACTCCCTCCCCTGACAAAGTCCCCGGCATTGAAGAGGAAGGAGCTCGCTGCAGGTGCTGTCGTCGTCGAGAAAGGAGCTTGCCGAGAAGGCAGAAGCAAAACATATATGTTTTTTTTTTTGCGTCCGCTCACCGGCATCGGACGGGGTCCTCTCGCCGGAGGCGGACACGGACGGGGTCCGCTCGACCTTTGCGGACGGGGTCCGAATTCCTCCGGCGGACGGGGTTTGAGATCTGGCGGCGGACGGGTCTGAAACTCACGGTTACTGTTTTTTTCTTCTTCCAAAATCGTTTTTTGAATTATTGATTATTTATTGCATAATTAAATAAGTGTAAAATACCATAATTAGGATTTCAAATTAGGAATTAATTCCATTTTTATATTAAACTAGCGTGGGCCCCGGCCATTTGGCCGGAGGAAGGTGAGGTATAAAATTTGATAATGTAATGGGGTGTATAGCTTATTGTTGTATAGTTTTTTTTTGGGAAACACGTGATAAAAATAGTGAATTTTAGTAGGAAAAAGACATGAATGATGCAACGAATCAAAAATCAGCCTTATGAACCAAAATCAAGTGCATGTTACCTTTTGAAACAATATTGTTTCTGGTAATATGATGAGGTGGAGTAAGTTTTAAAGAAATCGAATTCTAGAAAATCGAATAAAAAATCGCCTATCCCGCCGGTTTTCGGGAAATGAGCATCTCACAATCGTTGCTAGCTTTTTGCCAAACCATGATAAAATCTAAAGAAATCAAGAATGAACAACATGATTTGGGATAGGAACCACCCTTCTTGTATCCCTAGAAAATAGTGGTAAACACGGACTCACCTGCCAAACTGGTTTGGATTGAGATTTTTGTCAGGTATCAGGGAACCATGTGATTATAAATTAGACTTGATCAAAACGGGCCAAAACTTGAAATTCAACTTGTTTGACCGACCCATGCCAAACTCTAATTATTCTTTACTTTTAAACTTTCTATTTGAAAATAAAAAATAATGAAAGAAAAGAGATGACTGCAATTCGCCATTTGCACATCACTGATTCGGGAATAAAACTATAGAATTTCGAAAGGAAACTGAAAATGTTTAGGATCATTTTAATGTTAAAAATAACCAAATAGATCTTTCTGTTTAGTTTTTTACTAACAAATACCAAACAATTCCCTATAATATACACTATAATTTAATCATTATGATATCAAATAATTACATAATATATATTTGAAATGATAAAAAATTGGACTAATTGGGTTGGTCGAGGTTGAACAATTGAATAACTTTAAAATACATTATATTTTAGCCACTAAGATATAAAATAATAGCATAATATATATTATGCTAGAGAAAATAGCTTGTTTAGAATGGCAAACACATGATGTTCATTTGTTCTACTTGATGGGCAAATTCTGTGTAGGTCAGGCTCATTCAACTATTTTATTTTATGATTAGCGGTTAGCCCATTAGAATCCATGCATTAGTTTATTGTTAATTTTTTTTCTTTTTAGCAATAAAAAGGAGTGTTGTTTTTGCCTTTTCATATATATTTACCACCATGGAGAAATAAAAGGACTTAAAGAAAAAAATTGACACTCCTGGACCGGTTTAAATCCGCATGTGTCTGGTAAGTTGGCTCGTTCCAAAGAGGAAAAAGAAAAAAATTGACACTCTCTATTCTACCCTTCCTACAAACGCTCATGGAGCAGGGAATTTGAAATGGGGGAAGGGTTTTTTCCTCTCTGCGATTATATATTTTTAATTTAAAAAGATACAACAAATATACTTAGTGTGATTGGTTATGATATTTGTTTTTCTTTAAAGTGGTCATGGTTCGAATCCTAGTAAGTGTCTTTTTAATGAATAAAAAAAAGTAATTGTGAAGACCAAAATGTCCTTCCTACTTTCACTCTGGTTGCAGGAAATTTGAAATGGGGCTTCAAGTTTTCTCATTTGGCTTTTATTTATTGTGTAGAGATAAGTAAATATTCAATAAGTAAATATTATGTGCAAATGGGGATAATTTGAATTATTTATATTAATAAGTACATATTATGTAAACTAATTAATTGGGAGAGAGTTATTAATATTGCTAACTCCTTTGTTTCCGCATTCCTTTCTTTCTGTGGCAAGTGTTTAATTAGGGAAGTGAATTAGACGTGGATTATTGGTGGAGGTGAAGCAATAAATAATTAATAATCCATTCTTTAACAACTGATTGCCAGAATTTTAGTTAATTGGGGATAATTTGAATTATTTATATTAATAAGTACATATTATGTAAACTAATTAATTGGGAGAGTTATTAATATTGCTAACTCCTTTGTTTCCGCATTCCTTTCTTTCGGTGGCCAGTGTTTAATTAGAGAAGTGAATTAGACGTGGATTATTGGTGGAGGTGAAGAAGTAAATAATTAATAATTCATTCTTTAACAACTGATTGCCGAAATTTTAGTTAATAACTAGAGCATCTTTTCACAATTATAAATTAAGTGAATGAGTCAAGTTAATTCTATTTTTTCTTATAAAATTATTGAAACACTCACTGATCTAATAAAATGTGAATACAAACATGTTGGAATTCACCGTTTCTCGATTAGACATCCCGAGCAAAAATTGATGTATAGTTCCACAATTTTCATCGAGGTTTGTGGGGGCTCTAGGAGTCATAACGAGGACTTTCTGGAGCTTATCACGCATATTTTGATGATGCGAACAATTGGTATTAGTGGATGCAAAGACGATTTGGCCTCTAAGACAATATTTTAGTAGAATTGGATAGGTCGAGGTTGAAGATTTCTATTTGGAAGGAATGAAGGTTTAGGGTTTGGGAGTAGTAGAAGCCTAGAAGGTGTAAGAGGCGGAAGAGTTGCTTTTCTTCTTTGTTACTATCATCGTTGGCCTCTAAGACAATGTTGTCGTAATATAATATTTTTTATAGTTTACAATTAATTAACCACACATTTGTACATTTTTGAAAGTTTATAATTATTTAAAACAAACCCACGCTAAACTTCATTTATAAAAAAATATAATTGAGGATGATTTGTGTGGATACGAACATTTAACTAAGTAACAACATAAAAGAATCTTATTGACCCCTAACAAAAAAAAATAAAATGGAAATTAGCAATGAATGCATTCAATAATCACTAATTAATATATTTTATGGTCAATTATCCCCTCAACTATTTGCGGGATTTATCCCCTCCACTATTTTGACACAAAAATGGTAGTTACGTATGTTAATAGTGGTCAGTTAATTGTAGGGCATAATTATCTTGGCCGTAGACTAGTTATTAGTGATTAAGTCAATTAATAAATAAAACAGTCCACTAATTCCTCCATTCATTATTTTGTTTTGTGTAATAGATTAGTAATTAGGGAATGTAATGGCTAATTAGGGCGTGGGTTTGTATGTGGGGTAATTAGGGAAATAAAAAAAAGGTAAATTATTTTTTTACCCGTCCGCCGGCCGTGGTCGGAAGGGTCCGCCGGCTTTGGTCGGACAGGGCACAGACGGCGTCCGCCCACCGGGACGGGACAGGATTTGGCGGCGGCGACGGTGATGGTGGTCTACTGCCTACTGGTGGTGGATGAGGCTTTGTGTTATAAAAAATAAACGAGGGGTAAAAATGACATTTTTTATAAAATTATGGACGACAAATAGTAAATACTCGGACGGCAAATAACAATCCTAAAATTTTTTTCGCACCCCCACACGACAACCTACTAATTGCGTGAAACAATTTCCTCCATGGTTGTCACGTCGGCCGGCGTGCCACTGGTTGAACCTGGTTCAACCTATACCGGTCATAAAACCGGTATGACCGGCATAATCGATATACGAATCTCCAAGTAAAATTATCTTATTTTAGTGAATCTAATTGATAAAAAGTAATTTATTATTTGTTTTATGCGTTAAAAAATTAAATATTGATGTTATTTGTTGGATTCAAGTACAAATATTTAGGTATTTACGCTAAATGTCGTGTTTAAATATGAGTATTTGTAAATTATTTGTAATATTAACCGGTATGAACCGACACAAACCAGTATGTACCACCGGTCGAACCATTTCACTTGCTAAACCGGCAAACTGACATAAACCGGTTTCACAACCTTGATTTCCTCACAGTGCCCAAATGGGACCACGGGAAAGGTGCGCACAATATCCTCCACGGACGCCTCACAGATCCTACAGTCTGTCAATCAATCAACCAACCTTCAAATAGTTTAATAAATAAAAAAACTCACTGACCCTCCCTCCCAAAAATAGGCTGCCGCAGCAGATTGAATTGAACCCAGATCTCTGATCTCTCTCTATTTATTCTAGACGGCCCACCTTCTCACCGGGAAACTTCCCCACTCTGGAAATTCCCCTTTAATTCCCCGCAAAAATACCCCACAAGAAGGAGCTGATGATGGATTCGGTCGGACGGGAAGTGGTTCTGATCACCGGCTGCTCACAAGGAGGCATCGGCCACGCCCTGGCTCGAGAGTTCGCCGCCAACGACTGCCGGGTCGTGGCCACCAGCCGGTCGAAGAGCACGATGCGGGACCTGGAGCAGGACCCGAGATTCTATCTCCAGGAACTGGACGTCTCGTCGGCGGAAAGCGTCGAACGGGTGGTTTCGGACGTCGTCGGGAAGTATGGGAAAGTGGACATTCTTGTCAACAACGCCGGCGTTCAGTGCGTCGGCCCTCTTGCTGAGATCCCCCTCTCTGCTGTGCAGAGCACTTTCGACACCAACGTATTCGGTAAGATTTTTGTATACCTGAAAACCCAATTTGCCCAATTTTTGCATATGTTCAATTTGGTTATGTGGGATGGATGGAATTTAGGGTACCGGTATTTGGGTAATCGAATTTGTCGATAATTGGTACTAGATACATGTGTTCTTTCGAAATTGAATTCCAAATGTTATTTGGTATTAGATACTACGGACTAAGATCAGCATAGATCGAAATAGCGATGAGCGACAAAGCATCCATCCATGGTTTTTTAAGTTTTTAACTTGTGGTTAGGTATTAGGCTCTTAGCAGATGTTAATCCCAGCCAAAAAGTCCTTTCGATCGTGTGGGTTACTGTCGAATCAGCCAACTTCCTGGCTTACTGCTCTATTACTTCACATAGTAAACAGAGAGAAGAATGGGTTCCATAATCTCTCAAGTGCAATGACAGGTGCAGCCTTGATATGCTTGTTTCCTCATAAAACAGAACGGTGCTATTAAGATTGATCTGTGAGTACTGGTGTTGCTTATCAGGAGCAGAGCTAGAGGGTTAGAGGGGGGGTTCCATGGCACCACCACCTTTGATTTGGAGAAACCACAAAAAAATTACCCGTATTAATGTGTAAATGATGAAATTCGAACCCCCAAACTTCAATGTTAATTGCCAAAAAACTTGAGCAATGCAATTGTATCGGGTGCTCTGTTTTGAGAGAGACCAAACTTAAGCTCCTTCTATGTAGGCACAATGAGGATGGTTCAAGCCGTCACTCCACACATGGCTTCCCGGAGAAAGGGGAAAATTGTCAACCTGGGAAGCGTTACAGTGATGGGTCCCACCGCTTGGGCCGGCACATATACCGCATCTAAAGCAGCAATTCATGCACTGACTGACACATTGAGGTTTGTTGACGTTCTTCCTCGCAAATTGCATTTGGATTGCATGAAAATGTGTGGAAGATTACAAATGTAGTAGGAAGATTGACAAATGGATTGCAGGGAAATTTTCAAACCGTACTTATTTGAATGGGTGTTGAGTGAATTGCGGTCATCCTCTCATTCCACTTTCACATGAAAAATAGTTATTTTTTGCTTATACTACTAAATAGTTATCGTATTAGGGTAATGCACTAACCATCAACTTCTAAAGGCATAAAAAGTAAAGATTTTTTTTTTTTGTAACTATTGTTGTTGGTTGATATGTGGCGTAATGTTCATTCGATATTGAGGTGCATATTATACATTGTCAATTGTAACAAAATCACAAAGACTATGTTTTTTTTTTTTTTTTTTTTTTGCATGATTGCTTGATGGAGTAACGAAAGATTTGATACATTTGCCAAATAATTGAAATTCACACACTTAAAGAGTCGTGAACCTCTAGGCATAGGTGGTTGAGTGACTTTGATTTCTTTGTCAATTAATACTTCATTTAAAGTGGCCAACGGAAAAGTTATTATAAGCAGTAAAAAAACTTTACATGTACGAAACATTTAGGGGTTTTTTAATGATGGTGATATCAATTTATTTTTATTGGTAAGTGCTACTTTAGGAACTAGTTCAGGATGAAAACCAACGTTAAAACCTTTAAACCAAGCCTTGGATTTGGAACATACGAATTTCAAATCAGTCAGTAGGTTGGATTGGTGCTTTCCTCCTCTAACTGGCATGCATTTGAGCATTCAAACTTAATATGTCTGGAAACTGCAAATTCTTGACACGGTTCTAATCCCAGATACATCATTTCCCTGTCACCTTTGACGAAGCCTGATTTCGACACTTCCACTTATAAAATGCAGGCTGGAACTTAAGCCGCTGGGAATCGACGTGATCAATGTCGTTCCAGGAGCCATCAGATCAAACATCGGGAACTCCGCGTCAGCTAACTACAACAAGATGCCCGAGTGGCAACTGTACAAACCATTCGAGGCTGCGATCAGGCAGAGGGCATTCCTCTCCCAAAGCCTCAAATCCACCCCTGCAGAAAAGTTCGCGAAAGATACAGTAGCTGCCATACTCAGAAAGGATCCACCAGCATGGTTCTCGTCGGGTCGTTACTCGACCATTATGGCCATCATGCACCATCTCCCGCTTCGTATCAGAGATGCTATCATCAACCGAATTTCACCTATCAACAGCAGCACTACCTGATATTGATGCCTCTCTACTGTGTAACCATATTCACTTGCCTGTTTGTTTGACTCCTGTACTAAACTAATAATCCTTCAAAAGATTTGCAGTAATAACACATCTCTTCACACTTTGAGAATCTAATTTGCCACATACTTCCATCCTCCCAATTCAGTTCATCCTTTTCCTATTAACAAACTGATCTAACTATGATTGAGAACCGAAAATTTAAAACTTAACCAGCAACCCTTACACTTGACAAATGACTGAAATACTCTTCATACAATAAGCAAAACTCATTTGATCCTAACTATAAATTCACAAACGCAATTTGACCCCCACCTATTTGCTACAAACCCATGAGCTCACATCAGCTCGATTCATTTGCCACCTCCACTTTGAATCACTAAGATGGCCCTGCTACTGGTAGCTATATAAAAAAAATGTTGATCAATCTTCATCAGATGTTCTAATCTCACCAATACTATCTTACTACCAAGAAATTTCTCAGTTACAAGGGAAAACAGGGCCCCGAGATAAATTATACAGCCAACACACCTAAAACAAACTGACCTCATTGTGGTCACTGAGAATGGGATGATGGATGATGGCCATAATACACCATACCAGGCGGCTGCAAGGGTCTAAAACTAGGAGGACCGGCAGCAGCTTGCTGCTGTTGAGTAATTGGAACTTGCGACGGTGGTTGCTGAGTCATAGGCACCATTGGACTCATCATATAGGGAGGAGGTGGAGGCGGTGGTCCTGGTGGCAAGGAACTAATGCTACCATATCCGTAGGGAGTAACAATCCCTCCAGGAGGCTGCAAGTACTGCTGAGAGGAAGGATTCGGCAGCACGTGAAACTGAGACTGAGAGCTCGGTACCTGATTCTGCATGGTGTGGTATGGATGGTTCGAGGGAGCAGCAGAAAGGGGGTTTTGTGCTGACATAAACATAGCAGGTTCTGGCACGGAATCATTGACCGAAGAGCTAACTGGTGTTGACTTCAAACCTTGGGTCTTTGCTGCTTCTGCAGCAAATGAAGACAGAACAGAATGCATGATCATTTGAGAGGAGCTTGAGGCTGCAAGCTTATCTGCAACCTCGGCAGCAATAGCTGCTGCAGTTTTCTTTGGAGTGTGTCCTGCTTTGCCATTTGTATCTGCTTCTATTTGGGTTGCAGTTGTGGCTTTGGGCACATAGTCTTCGTCGTTCAGCCGCTTTATCATTATGCTGACCTCATCCACCTGTGCCTGAGCTACCTGGAGATTAGCGATAGGAAGCAACTCATTTCTCAATAAAATAACCCTCAGTGGTCAAAACTACACAAGTAGCACCATGTTAAAGTAGTGTCTTTGCCTCAGTATTTAAGCCCACACATTATTGAGTAACTTCTTTTTAAGCCTAAGCAAACACAGCCAAAGAACCAATATTTTCAAATAGGCCATCAGTTACATACCTGCATCTGAGTTCGCACAACCTCCAATTCAGATTCCTGAACAAGCAAAATGAGAAAGGCAGAATATGAGCATCTAGATGACACAAAAAAAAATTATAGCATGCACATAAAGTTAATAGACCATCACAGATAAGCATGTTATATTAAAAAGTTCTCCCAACCTGGTCATTTAGAGCTTCCCTCAACTGAGAGACAAGGGTAGCTCTACTGGCTTCAACGGATTTAAGTTTTTGAATACATTGCTTCAGAAGGGTGTCTTCCTGCTCTAGTTCTTTCGCCAAACTTGTACGTTTGGGATCTTTTCCTGAAGAGCCAAAAGTTGTTATGCTTCAGAGACTCCCAATCTGAACATCAAGGAGCTTTGGAAGCACTTGAATAGAAGTAAGGCGAAATAATTAACTATATAATCATATATCCCAATTTTACCACAGTAATTAATTCGAACATCTTGGCTTACCGTTGCTACAGGAAATATCAACATTTTTCTCCATCTTCCTGACTCGACTGACCAGAGATTTGCAGTTACTCATCTCTGCCTCTTCTTTGGAACGCTCCCTGTCAACCGAGTGGAATGCTGATACAATTTTCTCGGCAGCACCACCAATGGGCAATTTCTGGTTTTCAACACGATGATACAAAAATAAGAGACATTCGATTCGGAGAACTTAAAGGAACAAAAAGACAAGATAGGAAAGCTATTAAATGCTTGAGCTGGTTGAAGGGCAACCTAAATAAAAACATTTAAGGAACTTTTCCTAACCGTTTTAATAGATCTGGAATCTCGTTTGAAAATCTTGACCGTGCGTGAACGCTTTTTACTGAACTCCAAGTCTGGTAGAGTCTCATCACCAAGCATGATTTCTTTTAGGCTTCGAGAATGTGTTCCAAACACTCTCCTTTCTTCCCATATATTAACCTGACGACCATCGAACTTAAGTTATTAGACAAACCAGCTCATTCTGCCTTCTTTTTAGTAGTTCATAGTTCGTCGAAAGTTGAATTATCCATAAACATGCCCGTTCGCCTTCTGTGAATACACTTTCCTTCTCTTCCATTTTTTAGGTATGTGTCCAATATAACTCATTAACTAGTATGAAAAGAAATTTGAGCCCCAGCTACAATAGCGTTCAGATTCATGAAACTATCAACCTACTAATGAAGGTTCTTATGATGATGTCTCCTTTTTCCAGTGTATCCAAACTGTTAATCATGCAGGAAGCAGAATTCAGTATGTAAAGAGTGAATCGTAACCTTACCAATCTGGAGACAACAGTCTTGCCACGATCATCACCTTTTGCAGAAACGTCCTTGAGAGCTGAGGGGAGAACCTTCCAGAACTCGGTCACAAACTCATTGCCTTTACGTTTACTGTTCTGTAAGATATCATTTGCTAGATAAAGCAGAGGGACTTTCTGAACCATCTCCGAGACGTGGAACTGTTTGTCCCATGTCGCAACAACGAGTTCGGCTTTGGTTTGGTGAAATATGCACCAATGTGACAAAGCTACAGAACGTAGTTAAGCTAACACTGTCTCTCCGGAAATATAACAACGATGAAACTTCAAACAGCTTTCGCATCATATCACTGATTCAAACATAATGAACTGTTCAAAAATCAAAACTTTAACACAAGAACGCTGACATAAGCATGGAAGATGACGATGGTACGGAACTACCTCAACATCAGAATTCAGAACCATCACAAGTGCAATTCAATTCAACCCATAATCCAACAAGAGGCGAACAAGCCAACATGAACATCCACCAAACACGGCGTTAAAAATTATCCTCTGGATCCAATTCCTTCCTAGAAGACAAGCTTAACCTCTAAACTCAGAAGGAGATGGAGAGAAAGGAATAAAAAGAAGGATACTTTCAATGCATTGTTGGGTGCTGTTGAGCTTGGAGAGCTTGTCGGCCAGAATCTGTTCACTGAACACGCTATTCATCTCCCACCCCCACACCAAAATGCAACCTCCCCCTGCCTTCAAACTTAATTCCTCCCAAACCAGCTCGAACAAACGAATTGACAACAAAGGCGCCGGCGCTGGCCCAATTTGCTGAAGAACAGCTCGAGCAAAGCTCCTTTAACCAAAAAGGCGACAACTTTATTTGAAACCCTAGCGAAACCAACAGAGCAGCGCCAAGAAAGGACGAAACCCAATTGGATTTCAGATGAAGAGGAATAATGGGCATGCAAAACTTGCAGCTGAACAAAAAAGCCTCCACATCTGGTGGAAGGGAACGAGGCGAGTTTTATGAAGACGACTAAAGGGGTTTGGCACGAATCGGCGGAAAATGTGATGTTACAGAGAGAGGAGAGGATAAAGAGAAGGGGGCAAAAAATAACGTTCGATCGAGCTATGGAGGACTCTGGAAACAGGGCACTTGAGTTTTCCTGAAACCCTAGAGAGAGGGGGGAAAAACGGTTACGAAGTGGAGGGATTTTGGTGAGCTAAGCTCAAATTTAGATGTTGAAGTCCACATAGGACACAGATCCCCCAGTGTTTGGAAAGGACCAAAGGCGACTTAGTGGAGAATCAGACAATCAGACAACCCAAACATTTTTTTGTGTACTCGGATCCAGTCCAATACCTTAGCATATAGCTAAGGGCAATGTCTATTTTTTACCCAAACCTTTTTCAGATTCTTTTATTTTAACCAAACCTATAGAAATTCTATTTATTATCCAAACGTATTATAATTTATCAAAGTCTGGGCATTCATTCTGTTACCGTTACTTATTTCGTCCACGTGAGAGGTGAGATTTTGTTTTGTTTTTTGATAATCTTTTTATTAAAAATAGTAAATGATGGTATTCTGACCGCCACGTAGGAAGTCAACTCATTATGATCATACTTAGTCAGCATTACTAACAGAAAAGTTGACGGAGAGTTAACGTTTGGATAATTTTTAGGAATTCAATAGGTTTGGTTAAAATAAAAGAATCTGAAAAAGGTTTGGGTAAAAAATAGACATTGCCCTATAGCTAATGAAATGTCCAAAGGCTATACATTATTCATTAACCATTAGACATTTCTTGGAGTGATCGAATGGCAAAAAAAAATTGTATAGACATATGTAAGTAAGGGGCACTTGATTGATCGGTATGATTCGGTTAATTAATATTGCTTGGTTTGGTTTGGAAATAATTTTATCTATTAGTTTAGTATGTTGGTTGTTGACGCTATAGATTGTACTAATTGATTACTTTATGTATGGCATTGACATAAAACTGACAACAAAGTATCGGTCAGTAAAAGGAAACTGTTTGGAAGCTAATGGAGCGTTTGAATGAGAGATTTGAATGTATAATTTAAGACAAATGCATCATTTAACTTCAAATCTTATGGTTGACCTGTCCAAAATAATGAATAGAGACTTTGTTCAAATTATCACATTTTCTGGTAATTGAAAACTCAGACACCTGCAACAAAAGTTTGTCCTAGTGATAATATCAGTGTTTTGAACCTAAAGATTACAAGTTCGAATCCTTTCAATATCACCTAATTTAAAAAATCAACATATATCACCCTTATTTTAAAAAGAACATAGACCGCTTCTCTATCTTTCTCAATTCTCACACTTAGGGATGGCAATGGGTCGGGTCGGGGGCGGATAGTGCATATCCGTTACCCTATCCAAAGTACTTCGGGTTTTACCCATACCCATACCCACATGTGAAACGGGTAAAAAATCAAAACCATGCCCATACCCGTTCGGGTTTCGGGTATCCACGGTTATCCATGGATATTAATTTCTCTTCATAACTCCAACCAATATGTTAACATTCACACGTATTCTTATATTAAGTAAGAGAAAAAGTACAACAAGAATTCACTAGATGGAAGAAAATTAACTAAAACAACACAATTTCATGAAAATGTTATATTTATATGCTAAATATAAAATATGTTAGAGAAAAATAATGATTATTTCTAGACAAAATATATATGCATGTGTATAATCGAGCGGGTTCGGGTCGGATAGTGAGAAATTCATCCCCACCCATTACCCGCAATATTCGGGTTCGAGTTTTACCCGTACCCACTAAATGTCCTTCGGGTTCGGGTTTTACCCTACCCGACTAGGCCGGATTCGGGCGGATATCCACGGTTACGGATATTTTTGTCATCCCTACTCACACTTTAGGCTAAAACCTTACATTTGGGAATTTAAACTTCACATTTTTCATTCCGGTTACCAAAACGGCCCAATAGGAATTAAGCAAATGCAAAGAAGCAATCCTTTGAGCCCACCACAAATTCCTAATGGGTCATTTGAAATGTGATATTTGGTTCGAACTAATTCATTGTGAAATAATGTGTCATTTTAAATATGGTATTTTATAATGAAGAGGCCCCATTATTCAAACTTAGGAAGGCGCTAGGCATAAAGTAAGCATCTAGGCGTTTTTTAGTGTCCATCTCGTCTTGGTGTCGCCTAAACGTTGGAAACAAGAACAGTAGTTTCAAATAGACGACAAATGACATGATAATTTTCCAGCTATTCAGTTCAAATGATTAGAGCTTAGTTAACACATAACAACAAGTGCTTACAAACAAGCGAACTTTAAACTCATGATATAGGAAGGAATAACGAGATAAGATAAATCAGATAGATTAGAAGCTAGCTTCAGGTTTAGGGGTCGAAGGGATTGAAGGAGAAGGCAGAGCAGCGACGAAGAGAAAAGTAGAGGGGTTGATTGTTTGGTATAGTTCACCTTGTGGCTTTGTTCCCCTTGGTTGATTCTTCGAACTAGAAAAGATAAGCAGCAGCAAAATTGGAGGGCCACTTTTTCTAACAATAAAAATATCGAGTGAAAGAGAGATAATATTGAGTTTATAGATGGTGTTATTTTCCTTTTAATATTTTGATTAACTCGTTCTACCCAATTAGTTGTTTGGCATTGGGCTTGGATATAGCTTGTTTCATGGTTTTGGATTAAACCTCTCCATAGACACTTCTTTACTTCACCGTCTTATTCTAGATGTCTAATTAAATGCAGAATGTCTAGCATCTAGGCATATCTAAACATAAGGAGAATGTGCATTGTTTAGCAATGAATATACTAATTGCACTTAAATAATAATAATAATAATATATGAGCTCCATATTCTCCCCATCCCAACAACTTGACGATTACCCAGTTGCCCCCATATTAACTCAGTAATCTCTTCTCCAAGCGTGAAGAAGGTAAGTTTAGGGATGGCAATTTACCCACCCATGGGTAATTTTGCCCAAACCCAAGTAGACCCATCTATTATGGGTAGGGTTTGGGTGATGTGTGTATGGGTTTGGGGTTTGTATATGGGTTTGGGTTGGATATGGATATTATCTAAATGGGTATGGGTTGGATATGGATATCCATTTACTTGAGGGTGTCTTAACTACACATGCAAAAATTGGACTTATTTGTAAAACTTGAAAATTTTAGGTACCAAAATGTAAGACCAAAAAAATTTAGGTACCAAAACGTAATTTTCCATCGATATTTTGAGGACTTATATGCAAAAAAAATTAAATTTAGGTACTAAATATGCATATCTATTAAGTTTAGGTACCAAACTGTAATTTGTATTTGGGTATGGGTACAAACCCAAATCCATTTGTTATAAACCCAACCCAACCCAAAGTAAATGGGTATGGGTACAAACCCATCAAACTTTACCCATATCCATATATTTGGATTTCATACCCAACCCAATTGGGTTGGATAGTAAAATACCCATGGGTATGGGCATAATTGCCATCCCTAGGTAAGTTGCATCAGAGACAATCATCTGAGCAAGTTGAGGGGACGATTGAAGGATGAGAGATCATAACTTGGCAATCTCATCACATCTCCAAACGTGAAGAAATTTCGAAGTATGCAAAAACTAAGTCGCATGGAAAAAACAATCACAAAAGATTAATTAAAACAGAATAATGAGTTGTCAAAACTCAAAACTACATCATTACAAGTTCTTGTTGCCAAAACAAGGCAATGAATTAACTGAGCCAAATCAAGGATTAGAATGCTACATCAAGAGCACTCACTTTACTAATCAAAATCATAACTCTTCAACATCCCACTTACCTCTTCTCAAGTAGAGAGCTTTCATAGTCTAAAGACTGGATATGAGACCAAGTGTCATTTTTCTAGCATTATATTCTGTTATGTACGTTAACGGGTAGTTATCATAAACGGTCACAAATCTATTCACTTTGTACAAAATGGTCGTAAACTTTTAATTTGTAACGAAATGGTAAGAAAAATTTGAACTTGTACGAAATGGTCACTTCCGTTAATCTTCGTCAAAAATTCCGTGAGTCTGGTCCTAGTCAGCTACCTCATCAACCAAAGAATTGATAAAAAAAATAAAACCACAAAAACCGACCTCGATTAATTCGTCGGCCCCTTTGCTTCGCCTGCCCTCAGCTGTGACTCCCTCTGGTCGAAGCGGATTCTGAGTTGCAGGCTTGCAGCACACACGCTGATGCTGTGACCGGTGCGGAGATATCCACAGTCGATGGGACGACGGGCGGTGAGGGAGGTTAAGCCTTCAATGGCGGAGACGGAGAAGACAGAGGGTTGGTTTGGATTGGGGTTAAGCCAACTTCAGTCAGCCGAGCCCTTCTCCTGGTGACATTACTTTTATTATTATTGGTAGGTACAGAATTAGGGTTGTCCGGTTCAATTAAGTTTGGTTATCAATTTTTGTATTAATATTTTAAGTGACGTGGCTTGCTGATTTGACGAAACTAACAGTTTTTTGGATAGAGATAGACAGAATGACCATTTCGTTATTCTCTTAAACGCATGTTACTAAAATGTGCAAAATAAAAGGTTTGTAACCGTTTTGTACAAAGTGAATAGTAATGTAACCTTTATGCTAATAACCCGAATCACCCGTACGTTAACCAATTATATCGGATGTCCCGGAAGGGGATCTTATGTTAAACATGCTAGTAAAGTTTACCATCTTTGTCATGTTCATTCAGTAAACTCTCATTTTAAGTTCGTAACTTGGTACAAACGAACTAGTGACAACTTGAACTCCTAAATTTGTTTTACAGCACATGACTCGATTTGGTCACTAGTTCGTTTGTACCAACCATAGCAGACAAGGTGACACAATACCCAGTATTTGTTACATTAAAAAGGATTAGGTACAGTATAACTAGGTAACTAATTAACCTAGCAACAAATCTTCGGTCATGTTTGCCTTCAAGTGTTAATCTGACCTATGAAGAGGCTAGTTCACCTTCAATATCATTGGCCAAGCCCCAGATCTGTAATCAGGAGCTGTCAATATGCTCCATCAACATGGATGGATGTTTCTAAACAGCAATCACACAAGTGCTTAGAAAAATTCAGACTGCAGTGAAAATTTTGCCATAACCAGATCCAACAAAACATGGCTACCACCTAGATACATAACCAGATCCAATAAAAAGAGTATAACAGGGGGCAAAGCCCTCAAGGCAACATATCTTTCTGTCTATCCAACTCTAAAACATAAAAACTGCCACATTTGAGAACAAAAAGAAGCACCGTCACGGAGTCAAGGAGTAAAGGAGCACGATCCCATGAGAAGGGTAAGGCATTCAGTGGTCGCCAGGGAGTGACTTGATGATATCCGAGTCACCTGCATTGACAAGAGAGAACCAACGTTACCACATAACCAGAGAAACTAATGGGAGAAGCTTTGCAATGCTAACTTTAAAAATCCAGAGAAGAAAAGGTACAGAATGGAATATTACCTGCATCAATGATGCTCAAGCAAGAAACACGGTGGAATTTGCCACAGGCAGTGCCCAACTCAACATTGTCTACACACCAAGTGAAAAGGACAAGTCAAATACAATCACAAAGTTGTTCCACAACAAATTATTGCAGGATAGTGCATAACTACATATAGGGGAGACCGGGAGAGCAATTCCTTCAATGGCTACCTATACCTAGGGATACTATCAGTGGAGTACCCATATCAAAATGAGCCAATCATAGGCAAATATCAGACACACAATATACGTATAAAAGTCATTTACCACAATCCATGGAGGAAAGACACCATAAGCAGGTTTTGACGGTATATATCTACATTACATAGATAGCACAGACACCAAACGCATTAAGCAATCAATTATGAAGCACAAACAATAACTTACACTCAACAGGATGAAACCCCTACTATAACCCAAAACAACTTTCATCCGCATTAAGCATCCAACCAATACAAGCATAACCACTTGTAGAAAAAATTCACCAAAAAGATGGCTTCCAAAGGGGTAGCAATTCACCCAACCACATTACATGCTACTATATGCCTCTTGATACACAAGATTTGCATCAATCTTTCGCACAAAACAAAACCTGGCTCAACAGGGGAAACAGAAAATAGAGAGAAATAGTTTTAGAGAACTCACTTCCTGTGTAATGATGTACTCCGACCTTGGCAAGCATGGCGTAGTACTCAATCTCGGATTTCCTCAAGGGAGGGCAGTTGTTAGAGATGATGATCAATTTCCCTGCCAAAAGGACCACCACAATCACCAGATCAGGAAATGAGATCCAGGCGGAAAAACACACAAGTAAACCGAATGATAATAAAAACCTAAAAGCCCTTCCAACGAAATACAATACCTTTGGAGTTTCTGAGAGTGCGCAGGACGGTCTTGTAACCAAGGGTGTACTTCCCACTCTTCATCACCAGGGCGAGCCTGTTGTTGATGCTCTCATGGGTCTTCTTCTACAGAGAAGACAAATCGCAGAGAGAGATAATCAGAATGAGAACGAATCATGGGCATCGTCGGATTTCAGCTACAAAATGACGGAAAAAGTAGTAGACATGGCCAAAAGATACTTACTGTCTTCTTGGCGGTCACCATTTTTCCTCCGGTTGAGCTGGTTTTCCTGCAGAGGCTGCTACAGAGAATTGAGAGGTTAAGATTATAGAAAGCTGGGATGGTTGCAGAATGGAGGCAGGTCGAGGAAGAATTCTTACGGCGACTAGGGTTTTCCGCAAGAGCCCGAGATTGCGCTGTGCTGGAGTATTGACGGCAAGGGCCGAGGAGGAAGGGAGAATTAGGGTTTTTATGTTGGTGGTGGGTGAGGATTAAGAAGATGAGAGCGCTGAGGCTGTAGCGCAAATTTGGGCCGGATTTCAACTGTTGGGCTTAGGAATTGTTATAAGACCGTGGCTTTGAACATTATTTGGGCAGCAGATTTTGCTCTCAAGAGTGGATTTGGGGTTATAGGTATAAAACTATAAATATAATGAGGTCGGTTTGGATGGAGTATGTGTCTGTAGGGCTGGGAAACGGTGCGGTCTGGTCCAGATCAGACCATATATACGGTCTACGGTCCAGACCGAGAGGCTAAAGTATAGACCACAGACCAGACCACAGACTATACGGTCTGGTCCAGACAACGTCTGTGCGGTCTGGTTCGGTCTGGTCTGGTCCAGATAGACCACACTCAACGAAAAATGAATAATTTGTTTAGTCAACCACACAAAAAATTTAACCAATAACCAATAAAAATAATTGTTATTTGCCTTAAAACATTAATCCTAACATGCATGAATAATTTTGATACTCTAAATCTTAGTACATAACACAGATACAAAGTAAAAGCATCTCAGCTTGCACCATAATGTCATAAACATTAACATAATGTCATATGGAAACACGATTATCTCTACTCTGTGGTTAAATGTGGTTGTGGATGAAGGAGGGAAGAGATTCACAAAATTAAGGTTGAGACTTGGGTGTCGTTGTGGGAGTTTGGAGAGTGGTCGAATGGGTTGTTAACACGTATTGACAAGTCAGTTGGGTCTACGGTTTGGTCCGGTAAACCGCGGTCTAGACCAGACCAGACCAAGAGATCAAATCATAAAATAATACAGACCATGGACCAGACCAGACCATACTTCACGGTCTACGGTCCGGACCAAACTGTGCGATACGGTTTGGACCACGGTTTTTCTAACGGTCTGGTCTATTTTCCCAGCCCTATGTGTCTGGATTATTTTGGTTGGACTATGTGACATGGACTTTTCGGTCGACCTAATCCACAAGGCGGTCGACCGAATTGATAAATTCAGTTATGTGAGGTTCAGAGACGCGGTCGACCGTCTATATAAAATGGTCGAGCTCTTTGGTGGTATAACAGAATGAAAGGTCGACTCAAATACCTCATAGGCCGACCCTTGTGCACCTATCAGGTCGACCTCATTAGTAAGAAGTCGACCGCATGCACACCGTATCCGTATTGGATAAGGATTCCAACAGCAGAAAGGTTCCACAATTGGACAAGAAGACGAATTGGGTCGACCCATTCACATCCTAAATCTCTATAAATACGAATATAAGTCCCCTTAAACGCCACCAAAAGTCTGAATTAGGTATTTTTTGTTAGAGCCTTTGCGAAGAAGATTGTTCGCGGTTGTTGTTATACGTGTCGAAAGTGGTCGACCACGTCTAAGGTGAGGTCGACCTAATGTAGCATTCACCATCATCTTCCCTAATGCGTGATTTCCACAAAAAATAACAACTTAAACTAAGTGCGGTCGGCCAGGTGGTCGTTGAGGTCGACCGCAATGCTTTCTCGTACTGCCCAAATTAGTCAATTCGGTCGACCGCCTTCAGGATTAGGTCGACCGAAAAGTCCATGTTATGGTGACATGCATGTCATAGTAGGCATACCCTAACTTGTTTGTTTGACAGCATTTTATTAAAATGAGTTATTTGGGTAGTGAGTTGTATGAAATAACTTTTATTCTTGTGTTATTTTGAAAGAACTCGTTTTACCACTCTGCTTTTGTCAAATATCACATGTCAAATAAAACATTTGTATGGTTCTACCAAACGAGATACTCAAATCCAATTACTACTAAAATAACACTGAAAAACCACCTAAACAATTATAATGAGTTATTTGACTCAACAAATACCACATTGACAATTCATCCATCCAAACGACACCATCCATTTGCTATGTATGTTTATCAAACATACACTTTTATTGATTTGTATATCGAATATATTCCTATACTTTGAAAACATCAGTAAACACGATCTTCTCTTAAAATTCCATCCAAAATGGTAAATCACGATCTATCGTTGGTTGAGCGACACAAACGTCTAAAATATCCCTAATGATTTCACTTTAACATTCTTTGGTTACTTTTATATAGCTCAGTACTCCTAATAAGTTAACTTTGTCAAAATTTAGATAATAAATGGAGGGGGTCGAAATTTAGATAATAAATGGAGGGGCAAAACTGTCATTCCTCTCGTTTTGTTGAGACCAAGTCGCACGAACCATGGTTCGACCATGGTTGATCGTTTTTTATGAAAATTTGACGGAATGGCAGATTTGATATTGTTTTCAAAGCATAGAGATATGTTTGATGTAAAAAAAAAAAGGAAATGGCAATATTATACCTATACCCTAGGATTAGCAACTCCCACTTGCGGTTGCACCATGGACCGACCGCAAGTGAGTTGCAGTTGCACCATGGACCAATGCCTTAGGTTGAGCGTTTTTTTGGAAATTTCGTTAGAGAACGGGCGACGACGACGGCGGGAAAGACGCCGACGAACTGGTGCGTCGAAAGGGATTCGCGAAGAAGGTAGATGAGAGGTTCAGTTTGAGGGGTTAGGGATTGTTTGGTTTGTTTAAATTTTGAAATTTTATTGGGGGTATATAAGTCATTTATCATTAGAGTTAGGGCGACCGTTAGCAATTTTAAGGGCTGACATTTAGCGATTTAGAGAATTTTCTATGTAAAATTGCGGAGGCAGGAACCACGATCAATAAGATTTGTAGACCATAGAGTTGAGTTTTTGTACCAAGTGAATGAGATAGACTTTTTATGTTCAATTAAAAATTTTAATAAATTAAATCGATCGAAACCAACTCTATGTTTCGACAACAACGGTGGAGGAAATATACTTTTTAGGAATCCTTGTTTAAGTCATAGTATCTTCTGTCGGTTAGTAATAGGAGGTGTTACTATTGTAGTCAAAATTGCACTATAACGTTTACAAGGTTACACTTTTATGTTTGTAGGTCTTTCAAAACTTCATTGTAAAATTGGGCAAAGTTGGTATGTTCAGTAGCAGCTAATTACAAAAACTCAACATATATCAACCTTATCTAAAAATTTGGTCAAAGTTAGTTGTATATGCACTTATGCAGTGAAAGCACACAAAGCTCTTAAAAACATGCTTTTACTGCCCTTTGATGTGTTTCTGTACAACATTATAAAATAGGTTAATTTAGGAACAATCTCACAGTCTTGCCTTACTGAAGAAAGTAGCTTGTACCCAACCTATTAGCCAGAATGTCATCTCGACGAAGAAATCGATTTTCATGATAATCAAGGTAAATATATTTCAAATTGTAAAACCTTATTTGTTATAAACGCGCTGCTACAGATCGGGAAATCCCGGAATTGATAAAGAAAGAATACGAAAGCGAGAATCGAAAAACACAGACACACGATTTACGTGGTTCACTAACACGATGTGTGTTAGCTAGTCCACGGGCGAGAGAGAGCCGGTTTCACTATATCGAGGAGATTACAGAGGAGTATGAGAAGTATTCATAGTACTTCTCCATATGAGTCTAAACTTAATCCAATCTGGCAAAGGAAACGGTTACAGACCAGGCCCAGAACCCGAACCCAAATAACATTGAGCCCATACACCCCTGACTACCAGTCGTAGCGGCTAATAGTCCGATTCACGTCACATCAACATTATTGAATTGGCGGAATGATTTTTTTTGTCTAAATTACCCTTTTGGATAAGATGAGTTAAGGGTAGGCTACCACAATAGTAGATGCCTCCATTGACTTACAGACCAAGAAGATACAAGAAATCGTAAAAACCAGAATGGAGTCTAGGATAATGAAGGGCATTCCGTGCAACGAAATGGGAAGCCCGATTCGCTTCTCGAGGAGTGTACGCGAACTGTACTAATGGTAGATGACATAAAAGACTATGAACTTCTCCGAGAATTGCTCCGCCCCGAGCATCAGACATGGTACGAGTCACTAGTTGATGGATAACATGTTGTGCATCACTCGTAATGAGCATCGGTCGGGTGGTACAACCCCAATGAAGAAGAAGGTATAGTGCCTCACGGACCGCCAACAACTCGATTAAATAAGAGTTGATAATTGATGGTATTGTCCTCTCGAAAGCAAAAATTGAAGAAGATTCCTGGAATCCAACAATACCAACAGATCCATGCGAAGTGTCCAAGGTGGCCCATCCACTGCGATACTGGTCATTTACACTTATGAATGAATATCCATAGTTAGTAAATTACGGTACGGGAAAGTTACGTATAAAATACGTACGGGTATTTTACTTTGTCTTTAAGCTAATATTATGTTTAATAGTACATTAATAGTCATAAATATATAAAATCAATTATTTTTAAAAATAAATAAATATATAAAAAATAATAAAGTTAATAATTTAATTGATTAAATACAGATATTAAACGTATTATACGGGTTTTATACGTGTTTAGTATGGGAGCCGTCAAATGAACGGAAACAAATGAAACGGATTGACAATAATATGGATACGGAAGTTTTAAACGGATAAAGTATGTACGGGTACATATACGTGTATTAAACGGAGTATTTACTAACTATGTGAATATCCCTTTGCAGTCGAATTGCATTGAACAGCTCATTCTTGTTGTGGGACTTATTTGTAAAGAGTTACATGAGAATTGCTATTCATTGTAGTTAAAGAGAAATAGGAGGAAACCTCATTACAAGGCCCATTAACTTTCCTTCTCTCCCCGTGAGAGCCTTCCTTTTCTCTGTATCTCAGGATGACTGTTCATCTCCCGCCTTCTGCGGTTTCGAATCTCCATCCTCTCGTCCGTCCTCTGGATGACCTTTCTATACTACCCGTTTTCGTCTCTAATCCCCCCCGCTTCACTGCTATACCTCTGACATCACTGCTGTTTCCCCCTCGGAGCAGTGGCTTGACTTTCTCCCTCTCCCGAAATACCATCTCTGAGACGCTTCGTATTCCCCCAATGGCAGCGGAACCTGATATCGTAGACAAAATAGCAGCTGTTAGCTTAACAGAAGAAGAAGAAGAGTGCATCAAAATAGAAGAGACTGATGA